CTGTATCACCGAAAAGTCTGATGACAATTCAGCTTCGGCCGCTTTACTTAATTCTTCGATGAGCCGTTTCCAAATATGTCTTTTTTGTGCCATTGATTTTGCTTCTTCATATAATTTTTAGTTTTTAGTTGATCTGGATATTGAGTATTGGTAAACCTGATCTTACTGAGATCGTTATGGAGAGTTGTGATTATTGTTGTCCTTGGACGTCCCCTGAATTTTCTGTATTGGTCTCGGTGAAGTAAAGTTGATTGCCACGTTTGTAGGATTGTTTGTGTTTGTCTCAGAATGTGGCCAAGTACAGTAACCGCCATCTCGATTCTAACATTTTTGGTGACAAGGGTCTCGTAGTACCTCTATCATAAAGGTGTTTTATTTGATATTCTATGGGGGTATTTCAGTCCAATAATCCTTCAAAGTTGCTTACGATGGAAAGTGTTTAGCTTTAGTTCATCGTCTATCGTTAAGGCCCATGTATTTCTATTAGGCCTATATAAAAGCACCGGTTTCACTAGTGAGTTGTACAACCTCAGTACTGATGTTCCAGAGTGCTGTCTTTTTGTTCATCGCGTTCATAGGAAGCTGTCACGTACAGTAATGTATCAATTTAATAGACCCTTTCGTAGCAGTAATGTCGTGACTATGCAAAATCACACAACCAAAATATAAGACATACTGCAACTAATCTTCAATAATTAATGGCCAGGGATTTTCTACCGCACCCCTTCTTTATTGTAAGGCGAGTAATCCCGAAAAGAGAAAAGCAATGAATGTTTCTATTCATTAAATTATAACAATGAGCTATGTTTTACAAACCGATATCGAGAAGGCGTTTCTTTCACTAATATTTATGAAATTATGAAATTCAGATGAGGTCAACATATGCCCTACGCTGTAAGATTCAAAATATGCGCAAGAGAAATACCTTAGTTAGTGCTAGGTACAGAAGTTTGCATTTATTTGAATGGAAAATAATGGCTGAAAATATTTAAATCTAAATAATGGAAAACTGTTGACAAAAGCTTTGGTAATACACTCACACTTTAGTTTTATTTACAAAATAATTATAATAATTTACAAAATAATTTACAAAATAAATATAATAATTTATTTACTAAATAATGGAAAACTGTTGACAAAAGCTTTAGTAATACACTCACATTTTAATTTTATTTACAAAATAATCCAATCAAATACCGTAGCTAAATGTTTAAGATCATTATTGCTAACCTAATTCCCATCGATGGTCTAGTATAGAGGATGAAAGAAATGAAATGCAAAAAGTCCAAATTTATACTATTCAATAATGCTACACAACTGTTTTTTAATGGATAATAGTGTACCCGGTAGCCCAACGATGAACAAAGAACAGATGAACTCCTCCAACCAACCATGCTTAAGCCGGTTTTCCATTAGACGAATGTATTCGCGCGAATCGAATTCGTCGGTTCGGTTCCTGAGCTCTGATTGGTTGAGCAAATTTTTCGCTTCGCAAAAAGTAGAAACAGTTCGAACTACCAATTTTGCTGAAGCGAAAACTCCGATAGAAATGTGAATGCGCATGCGCATGAACGACGCTTTCGATTATCGCGAATAAATTCGCCTATTGGAAAACCGGCTTTAGTTTGTTCATGTGAACGAAGAGGTATCCATGGTCCCTGCACTAGTCTGTTTTTGTGGTTTTCTTCTGTTGGTTAATTTTTAGTCTTTTTTTTTGTTTTTATCTGTTTTTCTAATCTCCTGCATTTTTTTTTGTCTGCTTTATTTTTTTTACGTTCACCTTGCCTTCTCTTTACATGGACATGGCGCTTAGAGACCTTGTGTATATTTGCGCCTTATAAATCGACCTACTAGGCCTATCTCTCCGGTATCCTCTCAGTTGGTCGAAATCCAGTTTGTCGAAACCCGGTTTGCCGAATTTAACTCACTTTGCCGAATTTAACCAACTTTGCCGAAAACCCAGTTTGCCGAATCCAGTTCACCGAAAACATGACATCCCAGTTGGCTGAAACCCGGTTTGCCGACAACCAAGTTTGCGCAATTTGAATTTTATCTACACCGTCGTACAAAAGAAAAGCACACTACTATTTTGAAATAAAATGTAATAAATACTTTACTTTACCCTGGTCAGTTGGACTTGGCCTTTCTCACACTATGAATCTATGATTGTCAGTTTTGAGCCTAAGCTCTGAAGTTTGTGATACACCTTAATTAGCAGTTTTTTGGTAAACAAGTTACTAAATCATAGAGAAAGAATTTCTCTATGATCCAATCAGAAACTCTAAAAGTATGGGGTGACTTACTTGAGACACACCCCCATTACCTAAAGTATAAAAGGCAAACACCCCATACCTCTAAAAATTGCACATTTTAGGGAGTTTTGATCAATTCCAACGAAACTAGAATTAACAACACCGGGGGACAAGGGGAAAATATCCATCTTTGGAAAATCTTTCCCCACCCTTTGACAAATGCATCCTCTGAAAGTGCCTAAAATTCTCAAATTCTTTGCGCGCATTTCCTGTTACGGTAGGCCAATTTCCCTATAAATTGCACATTTTAGGGAGTTTTCATCAATTCCGACGAAAATTAAAAACACAAAAATAATTTGCGCGTTTGGCGCGCATTTTTTAGGGCTTTTTTAGTTTTTTCCTTTTTAAGTTATTTAAACACATAATAGTCCTAAACTCAGTCAAGAAAGACAAATTTAAGATAGATCATTTTAACCTAAAAGAAGGGACTCAATGTGTATAGATGGTGAAAGAATATGTTTGTAATAAAATAAAACCATGATGAAAATGCTTATATTTAGTTTCAAACACACGTGTGTGACCTATATTATAAATAAGATAAGACATGCATCCTCTGAAAGTGCCTAAAATTCTCAAATTCTTTGCGCGCATTCCTTGTTACGGTAGGCCAATTTCCTCTATAAATTGCACATTTCAGGGAGTTTTCATCAATTATGACGAAATTAGAATTGAAAACACAAAAGTATTTTGCACGCTTTGCGGGCATTTTTAGGGCTTTTTTAGTTTTATCCTTTTAAGTTATTTAAACAAATAATAGTCCCAAACTCAAGAAAGACAAATTTAAGATAGATAATTTTCACCTAAAAGAAGGGCCTCAATGTGTATAGATGGTGAAAGAATATGTTTGTAATAAATAAAACCATGATGAAAATGCTTATATTTATTATTATTATTATGTTGTAATGATGTTGTATGTACTGTTGAATATCACTTAACCTACTGGGCTAAACTAGAAGGGTTACCCTCTTTAAAGATTGTTGAAATTTAAAAAATTAATAAATAAATAAATACCCACCCAAGACCCCTGTTACGCGCCTGGTATTAGCGCCAATGTGTGCCCTTGTGTGGACAGGGATGTGACCCCTTCTGAAGCTGGAAACCTTGTTTTTGCAAAATAAATTGATGAAATTTACTATTATAGGCCTAATCAATAAATTCCTCATCAACCGATATAACCTTGGAATTGACATAACATTACTGATGTCATACACACCCTTCAGTGTGAAATGTGGCTCTCTTTGCAAGCACATCTAACATCTAAGGAAAGAAAAGCTTAGATTGGTACCAGATAAAATAATTTTGTTATCAACATTAATACATTATGCTAATTTTCATCTTTGTAAGCGCATAAGACAGTGCAAATTATTTCTGTGACAGTCTTTTGAAGTGTGTAAAGCTCCATTTTATTCCATACCTTCAAAATATGGGGCGGGGGGATGATACAATGGACCATCCCCCCCTTGTCAAATACTGGGGGATATATCCCCCATCCCCCCGAGATCTACGCCTATGCTAACATCTGAAACCTGGAGTTTAGCTGATTGTAACCATGTACAGTTTGTGAGAATAAAAGTTTGCAGTGTACTAAAAGGAACTGTGTCATACTACTCATTCAAAGTCACCAACAACTAAAATATATTTAACATTAACAACCACAACAAATTAGTTAAGACCATTAAAAGGTCTTCCTGTTGCTCATCACTTTAATTTACCGAGCCATACCATCAGTGATTTAGGCTTTATAATCTTAGGCACCAATTTCAAATCCACTAAGGCTAAAGGACTGGGCGGATACCCTTGGGACATCTTCTAGCCTTAGTAGATCTGAAATTTGTGCCTAAGATTAACTATACCAACAGCATGCATGTTATTAAACTGTTGTTTTTATGTCTTCTTTGAAAAGAGCTATTATGGCAGTTGTATTGTCCTGGCAGATGTTAAGTGGGACCATCCGTCAATCAAACAATTTTGCCAAGATAGCGGTCAGGAGCACTGCCTCACAACTACAGACAAGCCTGGAAGCTGCTCATATCTCATTAAGTATCAAGGCACAGCTTGTTTTGTCAGTGTTGTCTTTATTTTGTTTTTCCTCTTACAGCTTTATAAAAAGAAGGAGTACAATTGGTGAGTCATATTTATTAAAACTTACAGCTCAGTTTATAATTATTAAACGGTGCTTTACTATAGAACTGGATTTACATACACACACACACACACACACACACACACACACACACCTCTCTCTTATACACATCTAGATGTGTATAAGAGACAGATATAAGCCAAAATTATTATTATTATTATTATACTTTTTTTCCACACTCAGAGATTCCTCTCTTTAATGTTATGATGTATATGCATACATACATACATACAAGTCTGCGCACAATTAAATGGGTGTGGGGTAAATGTACAGTGTGGGTATAAATTTTTAGTACCTTCATTTTTGAAAAGAGCATTTCCTCTTGCTTTATGTTGTTGTCCAAGATCTCTTCTCTCCTGCAAACAAATTCACAGAGACATTTGACATTGATCGATGATAAAGGAATACATTATTTGAGTCGCCTTGGAGTAGACTCGCTTTACCGCTGTCTCTTATACACATCTAGATGTGTATAAGAGACAGATGTAAATATATCTACGAATATCAATTCTTAGTTTTTGAATGCGGACCTTCTCCAGTTTTTGGACGGTTCGTCGCAACCGCCTTAACCCACCTACGCTACGGGTCTGATTTGTTACGTGTAACTTTGATAATAATGTACACATTTTCTATAATTTTCAGACCGCTTCATGGATTTCGTGTTGTTCCTGGTTGTTTCTATTTATCATCCAAGTAATCAAGACAGTAATAAAATCACGATCTGGAAACAGACCAACAAATAGACAGCAACGTGTGCCAGAGGGGCAGAAGTTCGAAATAATTAGTTAAAATTGAGGCGTACTGTACGTTAAAAAGCTAATGCCACATTTTTTTTTGTCAAATAATTTGAACATTTAGGCAGTTGGATATTTAGCTGGTGGTAGAAAAGCCAATTCGTTTGGATTTCAATGATGATTAGTGATGGCGAGTAGTGGCGCAAGTTGGGGAACCGTCAGACAGGACAGGCCCCTTTCGTCCGAGGCACAACTAGGTCGTCGAATAAAAACCAATAATAACAATAATAATAATAATAATAATAATAATAATAATAATAATAATAATAATAATAATAATAAGGATGATAATGATGATAATTTTCCTATCAAAATAACGTTTATTTTGATGCCAATTCCAAATAATGTAGTCTAAAAGCATATTTTGGACAATACTAAGCCATTAAAAAACTCACCCCGTGAACCTACACGGGAGTTTTTATTTCGGGCCGTCGACCGAGGTTTCGTCGGGCCCCTGCCTTGGACCCCTCCGTCTAACATTTCGGACCCTTGTCGGCAAAAATCTGGCGCCACCGCTGGTGTGAGATAAAGCTGTACAGTTTTGTTGAGTTTAAATATTTGGAAATATCAATTGCAACAAGGTTATTGTGAATTTTGTAGAACATTGCAAATCACTGATTTTAGTATAAAAATTAGGCCTAACTTATAAGATGTCACTGGAAGTGGGGTAGCATAGCCAATAATTGAGGGAGGGGGGAGGTTTGTTAGAAATTACAGATTGCAAACCGTTGATGATAATTCGAAAACTAATAAGGAATACCTCTATTTCGATGTTCCCTCAAATTATGGTGAATTCAAATGTGATGTATCAAAGATCGCTCTCTAAGCAAATTGTGATAGCCTGCCCTCATGCTTACATTTTTGTTAGTATAGTATCTCATCTTACCTTTTTGTATAGTATCTATCCTCCTGCCAACGGTTGTATTTTATTAAAATGCATTTGCTTTCTGCTGGCTGTAACAAATCTAAATAATTAGTGAATGAATGTAGGCCTAAATAATCGTTTAAAATTTACAAAAGCTGTATAATAATTTTATATACATTTTTAAATAATGCATTGAGTACATTTGATGAGACAATAAACTACTGTATAATCAAGTAAGCTGTATGTTTTATGTTATGTAAGCTGTATGTTTTATGTTCATTATTACCATTAATTTATATATTTATTAAAGCATGATAGACAGGATAACATATAAAGACAGAGTAGTACCGCTGTTTTACAATATAGTCCTGCTATAATAAAATAAACAACATGCTTCCTCTCCCCATTCTTAACCCTGACATGGTAGGACGATGGAGGTATTTATACCTCCATGATACGACACAACAGGTGGGTATGGGAGGGGAATCCGCTCCTCCCAAAATAAGGTTTAAAAACAAAAATTGGGACTTCTAGATGGCCGGAAATGGCTGGGATGGAAAAATTAGTCTACTTTTTTTTGACCGACTGCCCGACAAGCTTTGGCCCTTTCCCCCTCCCCCCGCTGGCGCCGCCACTGCTGCAGACCTAGTACGTAGGCCTTGATAAAATCATAACACCATGGTAGAATAAGAGCACAATATATGACATGTTTGTTACAATTTTACAACAATGTATCAATTTAATAGGCCCATTCGTAGCAGTGTCGTGACTATGCAAAATCACAAAACCATATATATTAATATGATATGTTGTTGTGCAGACCTACTCTAGCACGCAGGCCTTTTATAATAAAATTATAACACCATGGTGGAATAAGTGCACAATATGACATGTTTGATACAAATTTACAACATGCAGTGTGTATCAATTTAATAGGCCCTTTCGTAGCAGTAATGTTGTAACTATGCACAATATTTATAAGACATACCGGTATTTAATTTAATAATGATAGTTGGGCTAAAGCTTGAGATGTGCGATCTGCCAACATAGATGAGGTCAGGGACGTATCCAGGCCAAGTCTTTTAAGTTACAGAAACGTCATACTGTATGGCTCAGTTTGGTTTTTATCCTTTTGCAAACTTCTTTAAAGTAGGGCCTATTGTTTAATAATACTATACTATTAGCAATAATAATAATAATAAATAATAATAATAATAATAATAATAATAATAATAATAATAATAATAATAATAATAATGGTATAGGTGTAATTTTGCCCTACCTGACGTGGAAATGTACCGAATACTCAGTACATTTGAAAACATCTGCGAAAAAGATGGCAAGTTGTTCTCGGGTGGGACTCAAACCCACGATCTCCAGATTACTAGCCTGGCATCATACCTCTAGACCACCGAGCTTGCGCCTGATGGCCAGGGTTGAATTCGAGTCCAAGTAAGCAGCGGGTACTGCAGTGTTGATAGTAATTGTTATTGTCGTGATGGAATAATAGACAATAACTGGATTTGCGTCAGGAGAAACATGTATAGGTGTAATTTTGCCCTACCTGACGTGGAAATGTACCGAACGGTCATGGTATGATAATGAATTTTACTAAAAGTTTTGTTTCTGGCCATCTAGACGTACTATTTCCTCACATTTTCGCTCCTCAGCTCCAACCATGGTGAGTCTGAGGTAGGTGCCGACTCACAAAATATCCTCCCCCTCAACCTTACAAAACAGATCTGCACCCTTCTGGGTGTGACATTAAACTGCGTCGAGTCAGCACCTGACTCAGAGTGTGTCTTGTGACTGCTGAGGAGAGGGGGCATAAATTTGTTTTTAGAATGTGATCTGGTTTTTCATGCCCCCTTTTCGTGATTATGACTATTTTAATAAGAATTTTTTTTTTTTTGAGGAAAAAAAAAGGAAAATATATTCAAATTTAAGTATGAAAGTGTAATTTCCGGCCATCTAGAAGTGCCATAATCATAAATTTTCTTACCTCAGCCCCAATCATAGTGGGGCTGAGGTGGGTGGTTCCTCAGTCTGGGAAAATCCCTCCCTGGGACACCTCTCTTCAAATTCATGGACTCTGTTGATTTATTATAATTATTGCTGGGCCTACTAATATTGTTTATGATGTGTCTAATACAATTTTCACTTTATCCTCTCAAAACAGTCCTTAAAACGTTCAAAGTGCGCTACTACACAGGGGGGGGGGGGGTGGTCGTCCCTCTGGACCCCGCCGGGGTCATACGTTTCTCGCATAACGGCTCCCCCTCTTTCAAAATCCTGGCTACGTCCCTGGGTGAGGTGAGTAGGTGAGCATGCCTTTTGTAAGTCAGGACCCAGTGTATAAATTTTGTTACGTTTCTTCACAGAAGGGGGTTCGTCCGAACCCATTGAACCCCACCCCCCCCCCCCGGATCCTCCACTGTTGTTTCTATTTATTAAATTACAACAGTGAACTATGTTTTACAAACCGACCGGCGCTTTTTACTATTGATATTTATGGAAACTTAAAATTCAGATGAGATCAACATAATATGCCCTACGCTGTAGATTTACTTGTGACATGACCTGACCTTCAAAATATGCACAAGAGGAATGTCTTATAGTGTTAGGTACAGAAGTTTACATGTATTTGAATAGAAAATAATGGCTGAAAATATATATATATATCTAAATAATGGAAAACTGTTGGCAAAAGCTTGAGTAATACACACTTTAATTTTATTTACAAAAATAATCCAATCAAATACCGTAGCTAAATATTTGAGATCATATTGCTAACCTAATTCTCATCGATGGTCTAGTAAAGAGGATGAAATAAATGAAATGCAAAAAGTCCAAATTTAAACCATTCAATAATGCTACACATACTAACTCTTACCTGTTTGTTAATGGATAATAATTGCTTTAACAGTAGAAATGATATTTCTACTAGTTAATAAACATTGCTGTAACAGTAGAAATAATATTTTGAAAATGATGTTTTACCATACCGGCCTGCTCAGTTTGGAAAAAATAATCTAAAAAAATTGACACGTGTTCGTCTCGAACCAGGGCCAAAGCTCAGCTACGGGTTGTATACGCATGCATATTGGGGAGCTTGCGCCATGTCATAGTCAGGGGTGGCGCCAAGATTTGCCCGACGGGGGTGGGGGCGAGGTCCCCGACGGGTAGGGGGCGGTTCACATGACGAGTTGTCAGATTCCCCCGACGAAAGCAAAGTGAACGTGGTTGAGCTTCGAATGATAGGTTTCAAAAGTGGTCCATAGGGGGGAGGTTTGTTAGAAATTACAGATTGCAAACCGTTGATGATAATTCGAAAACTAATAAGGATCACCTCTATTTCGATGTTCCCTCAAATTATGGTGAATTCAAATGTGATGTATCAAAGATCGCTCTCTAAGCAAATTGTGATAGCCTGCCCTCATGCTTACTTTTTTGTTAGTATAGTATCTCATCTTACCTTTTTGTATAGTATCTATCCTCCTGCCAACGGTTGTATTTTATTAAAATGCATTTGCTTTCTGCTGGCTGTAACAAATCTAAATAATTAGTGAATGAATGTAGGCTTAAATAATCGTTTAAAATTTACAAAAGCTGTATAATAATTTTATATACATTTTTAAATAATGCATTGAGTACATTTGATGAGACAATTAACTACTGTATAATCATGTAAGCTGTATGTTTTATGTTATGTAAGCTGTATGTTTTATGTTCATTATTACCATTAATTTATATATTTATTAAAGCATGATAGACAGGATAACATATAAAGACTGAGTAGTACCGCTGTTTTACAATATAGTCCTGCTATAATAAAATAAACAACATGCTTCCTCTCCCCATTCTTAACCCTGACCTGGTAGGACGATGGAGGTATTTATACCTCCATGATACGACACAACAGGTGGGTATGGGAGGGGAATCCGCTCCTCCCAAAATAAGGTTTAAAAACAAAAATTGGGACTTCTAGATGGCCGGAAATGGCTGGGATGGAAAAATTAGTCTATTTTTTTTTTGACCGACTGCCCGACAAGCTTTGGCCCTTTCCCCCTCCCCCCGCTGGCGCCGCCACTGCTGCAGACTTAGTACGTAGGCCTTGATAAAATCATAACACCATGGTAGAATAAGAGCACAATATATGACATGTTTGTTACAATTTTACAACAATGTATCAATTTAATAGGCCCATTCGTAGCAGTGTCGTGACTATGCAAAATCACACAACCATATATATTAATATGATATGTTGTTGTGCAGACCTACTCTAGCACGCAGGCCTTTTATAATAAAATTATAACACCATGGTGGAATAAGTGCACAATATGACATGTTTGATACAAATTTACAACATGCAGTGTGTATCAATTTAATAGGCCCTTTCGTAGCAGTAATGTTGTAACTATGCACAATATTTATAAGACATACCGGTATTTAATTTAATGATAGTTGGGCTAAAGCTTGAGATGTGCGATCTGCCAACCTAGATGAGGTCAGGGACGTATCCAGGCCAAGTCTTTTAAGTTACAGAAACGTCATACTGTATGGCTCAGTTTGTTTTTTTATCCTTTTGCAAACTTCTTTAAAGTAGGGCCTATTGTTTAATAATACTATACTATTAGCAATAATAATAATAATAATAATAATAATAATAATAATAATAATAATAATAATAATAATAATAATGGTATAGGTGTAATTTTGCCCTACCTGACGTGGAAATGTACCGAATACTCAGTACATTTGAAAACATCTGCTAAAAAGATGGCAAGTTGTTCTCGGGTGGGACTCGAACCCACGATCTCCAGATTACTAGCCTGGCATCATACATCTAGACCACCGAGCTTGCGCCTGATGGCCAGGGTTGAATTCGAGTCCAAGTAAGCAGCGGGTACTGCAGTGTTGATAGTAATTATTTTCGTGATGGAATAATAGACAATAACTGGATTTGCGTCAGGAGAAACATGTATAGGTGTAATTTTGCCCTACCTGACGTGGAAATGTACCGAACGGTCATGTGATGATAATGAATTTTACTAAAAGTTTTGTTTCTGGCCATCTAGACGTACTATTTCCTCACATTTTCGCTCCTCAGCTCCAACCATGGTGAGTCTGAGGTAGGTGCCGACTCACAAAATGTCCTCCCCCTCAACCTTACAAAACAGATCTGCACCCTTCTGGGTGTGACATTAAACTGCATCGAGTCGGCACCTGACTCAGAGTGTGTCTTGTGACTGCTGAGGAGAGGGGGCATAAATTTGTTTTTAGAATGTGATCTGGTTTTTCATGCCCCCTTTTCGTGATTATGACTATATTAATATGAATTTTTTTTTTGAGGAAAAAAAAAGGAAAATATACTCAAATTTAAGTATGAAAGTGTAATTTCCGGGCATCTAGAAGTGCCTTAATCATAAATTTTCTTACCTCAGCCCCAATCCCTGGGACACCTCTCCTCAAATTCATGGATTCTGTTGATTTATTATAATTATTGCTGGGCCTACTAATATTGTTTATGATGTGTCTAATACAATTTTCACTTTATCCTCTCAAAACAGTCCTTAAAACGTTCAAAGTGCGATACTACACAGGGGGGGGGGGGGTGGTCGTCCCTCTGGACCCCGCCGGGGTCATACGTTTCTCGCATAACGGCTCCCCCTCTTTCAAAATCCTGGCTACGTCCCTGGGTGAGGTGAGTAGGTGAGCATGCCTTTTGTAAGTCAGGACCCAGTGTATAAATTTTGTTACGTTTCTTCACAGAAGGGGGTTCGAACCCATTGAACCCCCCCCCCCGGATCCTCCACTGTTGTTTCTATTTATTAAATTACAACAGTGAACTATGTTTTACAAACCGACCGGCGCTTTTTACTATTGATATTTATGGAAACATAAAATTCAGATGAGATCAACATAATATGCCCTACGCTGTAAGATTTACTTGTGACATGACCTGACCTTCAAAATATGCACAAGAGAAATGTCTTAGTGTTAGGTACAGGAGTTTACATGTATTTGAATGGAAAATAATGCCTGAATATATATATATATCTAAATAATGGAAAACTGTTGGCAAAAGCTTGAGTAATACACACTTTAATTTTATTTACAAAAATAATCCAATCAAATACCGTAGCTAAATATTTGAGATCATATTGCTAACCTAATTCTCATCGATGGTCTAGTAAGGAGGATGAAAGAAATGAAATGCAAAAAGTCAAAATTTAAACCCTGTCTCTTATACACATCTAGATGTGTATAAGAGACAGTTCTTAACCCTGACCTGGTAGGACGATGGAGGTATTTATACCTCCATGATACGACACAACAGGTGGGTATGGGAGGGGAATCCGCTCCTCCCAAAATAAGGTTTAAAAACAAAAATTGGGACTTCTAGATGGCCGGAAATGGCTGGGATGGACAGTAACATTAAACTGCTCATAAAGGTCTATAATTTTTACTGGACCTTTGACCTACGTCTTTATACCAGTTTGCCTTAACAATCTTTCAATAAATTCAAAGTAATATCAACGAATCTCTGTTATAAACTTTCTCTAGGCCTAGGCTATAACATGACCACCTACGGCACCAAAGGCGCTTCATAATACGGTCATAAATAACAAATGAACAGAAGTTTGTTAAGGAAAACCATTGTAATAGTAATTAACTATAACTCACTCAAAATCATTAAATAAAACTTGGTAATTCCCATCCGGCGTCAAATCCACAATATTGTTAATTTAACTGACGAAAATGATCAGTAACTCGTCGTTAGGGAAACCATCAAAAAACCACTACGCCGAGAGAGGGCGCAATTCAAAGGTTTATACCCAGGTATAAACCGCACACTCCCCCACCATGATGGACGACATCATCAAAATTCAATTTGCAATAAGTTTAAAAGGTTTACAGCACCAAATTAATTAATGTACAATATAATATGTAGTACAGTGTAACTTTAACTATAAGAACAATCAAAACAGTTCATAACAGGTGATTGGATCATCTTAGCGGGTACCAAGAGTATAAGTTCTGAAATTGGACGCAATACCGTCTTAGCATCTGCCATCTCTACGGACACTTTGCGAACTCTCCCATCAGCACTTGGTTCAATATGTAAAATTCTACCCAAAGGCCAACTGCAGCGAGGCGAGGCAGAATCTCTAACAAGAACAACATCGTCTTTTTGCAAATCCTTCATTGGTGTCTGCCACTTTCTCCTTGCCTGCAACAGCGGTAGGTAATGCTTTCTCCATTTCAACCAAAACATGTTTTATAAGTGCTGAACACGTCTCCACTGATTTCTCAACAGATCATTCTGGTTGAACGGTCCTTCTGGGGCTGTTATCTGTGATGCTTTCATTGTAAGCAACATGTTAGGTGATAAGTTTATTGGCAGCTCTGGGTCATCACTGTCTGGTAACAGAGGACGGGAGTTTAGAATTGTGGACACTTCGCCATTAGTGTGACTAAAACCTCGTGGGTAAGCTGGCTTCAGGGGCGGATTTAGGGGGAGCCCGGCCCGGCCCCGGGAGGTAAAAAAAGAAAAAAAAAAAAGAAAAAGGAAAAAATGATGGCCAAGAATGCCTCAAATGTTATGTTCGGGCGTCTAGAACACATAAATTTCGGACCCCCTACGACAGTGTTGACTCAATCGGCCCAACTTTCGGCCCCCCTTCCGGCCCCCCTTTTGGACATTTCTGGATCCGCCCCTGGGCTGGGTTTCACTTCTCTTAGAACAGAATCTAAAATGCGCCTGGCCATCCCAATTAACCTCTCCCAAGCTCCCCCCATATGTGAGGCATGGGAAGGATTAAAACTCCACTCACATCCACATCCTAACAGGTATCGTTTCACACAATCTTTGTCAACAAGTTGGTGTCCAAGCTCGTTGCATGCTCCTACAAAATTTGTGCCACAGTCCGAACGAATCTGCTTGGCTGGGCCACTGATCGCAAAAAAACTTCTAAGGGCATTAATAAAACATGAGCTGTCCATTGACTCCAATATTTCCACGTGAATACCTTTCGTAACCATGCAAGTAAACAGGACAGCCCACCTCTTAGCTTGAACTGCGCTTCGAGTTTTGGAACTACGTATCAACCACGGCCCAAACACATCAGCTCCGACAAAGGTGAATGGTGGTGCTTCAGTCAACCTTTCTTCGGGTAAGTCTGCCATAATCTGTTCTTGTCCCTTCCCTCGAAGCCTTTTGCACACCACACAGTCTTTAATGACTTTCGATACTTGCCGTTGGCCACCCAGTATCCAATAACCTTCATTCCTTAAGGTTCCTAGAGAGATGTGTCTTCCTTGGTGGTTGCATTTTTGGTGGTAGTGTCTAATGAGAAGAGTCGATACATGACAATTTTTCGGTAATATGGCTGGATGTGCAGCTCTTTCTGGCAGTTACGAATAGCTCAGTCTACCGCCAACTCTAAGAATTCCTCTGTTATCAATGTAGGGGTTCCATTTTATGAGCTTGTTGCTCTTTGTTAGCTTTCTACTTCTCACCTCCGACATATCTGCAGCGAAGGTCTCACCCTGGACACTCTTAATAATCATATTCTCTGCTTCAAATCTCTCATCTACTGATTTTGGTGTCTGGCATACATGCCAACCTGTACACCCACATTCAAGTTCGTTGTTGCGTGTAAATGAACGAGCAATATGTTTAAGATTTGTAACAACTCGAACTGCTGATTCCCAGCTGGAAAATCGGCTGAATCTTTCAACTCCAATGCATGCCTGGTTCAAGACAACCTTGTTACAGGCGATGGTACTTGGACGCACCTCTGGATCATTAGGTAGGAGCTCTACATTTCTTTCTATATGGTTCTGGTCAGTTGACAAATATCTTTGTTTCAGGAATTCTGGCCCAGACATCCACAATGAATCATTTAACTCAGTAGCTGGGATAGACCTAGTTGCTTGGTCAGCTGGGTTTTTCTCAGTTGGAACATACATCCACTGGTCAGATTTTGATGTTCTATGTATCTTGCTGACCCGGTTGCAGACATAGGTGTGGAAACGACGTTTCCGGTTGGTGATGTAACCTAATACTACTTTACTGTCACTGTAGAACCGGGACTCATCGATTTCTAGTTGTAGCTCCTGTCTCACATAGTTTTCAACTTCTGTAGCAAGAACTGCTGCGCATAGTTCTAGTCTGGGAATTGTGGAAGCGGCTTTAGGGGCTAGTTTTGCTTTGCCCATTATGAGGCGAACATGAACTTCTTCGTTGATGCCAACTGTTCTCAAGTAACAAGCAGCACCAATTGCCTTATTTGAGGCATCTCCAAATGTATGTATCTCTCTTCTAAGTACTTTTAAAGCTGGGAATGGTGTGTAGGAACGAGGTGCATGCATAGATGCTAATGCACACAAAGAATTTCTCTATTTCTGCCACTCACTAAGCAGCACTTCTGGTAATGGTTCATCCCAGTCCGCACCATCTTGAGTCATTTCCCGCAGAAGCATTTTGCCTTTGATAACCACTGGCGCTGCCAAACATATTGGGTCATAAACACCATTTACCTCAGACAGAACCATCCTTTTTGTACTTGGTTTGTTATTTAATGCTGCCACTCTGAATGTAAACGAATCTGACTTCAAATCCCAACAGACACCTAACGTTCTTTGTATCGCTTCCTCATTTTTACTTGAAAGATCAGACACTGTCAGATTCGGAGCTAACTCTTCTTGGTCAAACGATGCTAGCACCTCTGCACTCGATGACGCAAGCTTATGCAACCTAATGGTGGCCGTAGCTAGCATATCACGGGTTCGTTTCAATAAGTTGACTGTATCCTCCACAGTTGGAAGGGATTTCAACACATCATCCATATAGAAATTATTTTCTACCAGATCTCGGACATCGCTGCCAAACTGCTTCTCAGCTTCCTGAGTAGTTTTCCTAAGTCCACTGATAGCCACCGCCGGCGAGGGTTTGTTTCCAAAGATGTGGACGGTCATTTGATAGGTAACAATATCGGCATCAGGATTGTTGTTTTCATACCACAGGAAGCGTAGAAATCTGCGGTGCTCATCTTTTACCTTGAAGGCATAAAACATCTGCTCGATGTCTGCTGTTACTGCTACCGGCTCTTGACAAAACCGGATCAACACTCCGAGGAGCTGGTTCATCATGTCTGGTCCACTTAACAATGCTTTATTTAAAGAGACCCCTGAATATTCTGCACTAGCGTCGAATACTACCATCAACTTGTTAGGCTTCTGTGCATGATACACCCCAAAGTGAAGTAGGTACCATTTTTCTTCATGGTCGTCTGGTCCCTCGTTCACCCGTTCAGCAAGATTCTTCTCCAAAATCTTCCCCATGAAGTTAAAATAGTGCTCCTTCTTGATAGGATTCTTTTTTAAAGTGGTAGAAAACGACTTCATCCGGTTTTCAGCCTGCCGTCTATAATTCGGCAATTTCTGTCTGCCGCTTTTAAAAGGCAGTGGTGCAGACCAATTTCCTTGGCTGTCCTTAATCATTTCTCGGCTCATCAGCTCCATAAATTTTTTGTCTTCAGCAGAAGCGCCAAACTTTTCATCAAGCCGAGTACACACAAATAGATCTTCGCCAATGCGTTCGGGCCAGCTGTTTCTTCTTTCTTGAATCTCAATGGTGTTCTGGCAAGGTTCAAAACTTGCTGATCTCCGTCCACATTTCAATCTTGTATAAAACGTGCTGACCACATCTTTTCTAACGTGGGCTCCATTCCGACAAACCTCCCCATGATCACCCAGCCCAAATCCAATCTTTGAGCCCATGGCAGGTGATTTGGTCCGTTGATGGATTCTCTGACTTTGTGGGCTTGTGCTAAATCTCTACCCACTAGCATGAGGATTTCGGCATCTGGATCTAATGGGGGTATCTTCCCAGCGATTTGACGAAGATGTATAAATGTTTTCGCTACTTCTGGTGTTGCGACTTCATTAATATTGCCTGGGATGTTCTCACACTCATAAACCCCCAGAACTGTCATCTTACAGTCTTCGTTTATGGATTCGATTACTAATCCAGACATCTTTCTACCTTTCACCGTCTCCTTACCACATAGAGTCTTAAGGGTTTAATCCACTATTGTGCTTCTAGCGCCCAGCATATCAAAGAGTTCTGGTTTCGCAACCGAATGGTTGCTCTGGTCGTCTATCAAGATATAAGCCCGGATGGATTTAGATGGATTGTCCATAGAATATAGCTTTGCCAAGCAGATTTTTGAGCAAGACCGGCTAATCGAAAACTTGTCACCACAAATTGCGCTACACTGGTTTCTCACAACCGAAGTTTCTTGTGTCTCAGGTATTTTCCTGTGAAGACTGGTAGGATGCTTTCTGTCACATTTGCCGCATGCAGCCCTGTCCTTACACTCCCGAGAACGGTGTCCTCTTTTTAAACATCCGAAACACAGTCCATTTCTTTTGATGAAATCTTCTTTTTCCAAATCTTGCTTACCTCCAAACTGATAGCAATTTGCCAGATTATGACCTGCTCCTTTACACCAGCTGCACAAGGGCTGTTGTACATCGGTAGCATAGGTTCTCACGTTGAATGCTGCTACGGAGCTCTTTGGCTCCTTCATAGAATTCGGTATATCCGGGTCTCTTTCAGGCTTAAACTCTCTCATTTAGAAATTCTCCAAATGGTTTAAAAGGTGGAAACACTCCTTTATTTTTCTTGTGCGTGGCAACTTGTAGCTTTTGTGTAGCTAGAAGCTGCAAAATGTCGGAAAGTTCTTTCCCTGGTTTCTGACTCTCATCATCTTCTTCCTTGACTCCCTTTCTTAGGGCATTCGCCTCAAAAATCTTAGTTTGGATTTCAGTTGCCTCTTGCTGATTCAACTTCATTTCCATCTCTTTTAGCCTCAATTCTAATTCGTGATTCTCTTTTAACAACCTTTGTTCAATTAAATTCTGAGAGGTGCTGCTCCTTACAGACTCGGCTTTTTGATGACATGATGCATGTCTATCATCCATACATATCTCAGATGCAATATATGACAGACCATCTACCGACCCTTCCATTATATAATCCACAGGACCTAAATCGTGGATAGGCGTGTTGATTTGTCCCAGATAAAAGGGTACATCTTGAAATTCTGGCGGTGGGAGAATGATAAAATTATTTATTACCGAGTCCACACACTCCCAGTCTTCCATCTTCGTCTCTAGAGATGCTTGAAGAATTGAGGTCACTCAATTGAGTTCACTGTGCACTACTAGACTTTAAAAAAATTACGAACAAGGTTTCACTGGTATTCTTTGGTCTTTAATATGTCTTTCCAAAGATCCTTACCGTGAACTATAACAGTAAAATATAAAACAAGTTAATTACACAACTGCAACTATAACTGATTTTCTCTAAAAACATTATCATGGTTTTTCCCATGAACTCAAAATTAATTAACCGTAACAGAGTTTTCATTATCATAGCAAGTATAGCATAGTCACTATATCTTTTATATCGTATTATTAATACAACAGCATATATTCCTATTATTAAGAACACAATTATTGTATAGTACCTCAATTGCTCTCCACAAATAATCAGCAGTGCAATGTCTT